AATCTTAAATATAATGGCCCGCCCTAAGCTAAATGGTGGTCCTTAATAAATTCATGGTTCTAAATAAATAAAATTTTAATAAAAAGTCAAACTTGACGAAAGGCCAAAGAAATGTAGGTATACATAAAGAACACACTATTTATAAATTTTGACTCTGATATATAAAAAAGTACATTATATCACGGAGTATAACATAAAATTAATATCAATATATTCCTATTTAAACGTAGCTTTTAAATATCAAATTTTTATAAAATATATCTATGCATAAATATAGATATTAATCATCAAAGTATAACATTAGAGACCATGAAAAACCAAATGGAAATAACATTTAGAACACATGGAGTAAGTTCTTGTGAAGGTTTCTTTACAATTTTTTACTTCGATGCTTTTTTTGAACCGATAGGATGAATAAATAGTTCTACTCCCACCGTCTCACAAAACATTTCAATTTTGCCTAAATGAACACCATTGCTCTTACTTTTCTTATATTTAACCAATTCTACTTTAACTATCTTCTACGTTCTATCCATATTGACATTTTCCGAACCCAATTTATTTTAATTATCGTCATTTCTTCTCGATCAAACTTCTATATTTCCCGTCCAAAAGTCAATATTGGAAAAATTGTATGGGACAGAGAAAATACTTTTTATATCCATACAAATTTTTTATATAAAATATTTGAAAAAAATATGGGACAAAAGAGTCATATTCGAAGTTATGAGATGCATGGAATTAAAACTAGCAAGGACAGTTAACTGCTCCGTATAGAATGTTCACTATTTGAAATTACACCCTACGTGTATGGTTTGGGCCCTGGGGACCAATGGCCCGCCCCTGGACGGGCCCATTTACTCATCCATGATTCTAGAGATCCGGGCCGAAGTCCTGCATTAAATTTTATGTCTCATATTTTTTGACATAAAGCCAAATACAATGTCAAAATTAAAAATAATTTGACACTAAAAAGTTAAAAGGATCCAAATACTCCGATGCGAAAGTGATGTTTTAAACACCAAGTACTCTTTACCTCCCACAAAAAGGAAGTGTATTTTGATGTTGAGTTTTCAAAAATACTCTTGGATGTGATGAGTAGATTAATAGTAAAAAAGTGTGATGTTATTAGTAGGTTAAACAATCGTAAGGGAAAGGAAAGGAACAATTTACATACATCTCTCATAATAATAATAATTACTTTCAATTTTTTTTAAATTATTTGTTATCTTTATACTCCTTCTGTCCACAAATAAACTTCTCATTCACTATTCATAGAATCAAACTTTATTCACTTTGTTGGCCTATTTTCGTCACCCATTTGATAAAATAATATAATAATGTCACCTCTAGTTTTGTAGATTTTTTAATACTCCGTATGTGATTTTTATTTTTTAAATTTTACATCATTTTTCATATAAAATGATTTGAAAATAACTTGAGTCAAACATTGTAGCGCGCAACAAGAAGTTTATTTGTGGACGGAGGGAGAAATAATTTATTTGAAATATTGGACTGTTGCTAGCTAGGTCCGATTAGGAATGGAAAGGAAGTTTAATTTTGAGTTGCGGTAGGGGCGGCTCTGATTGCATGCATGCATGGAAGCCTTGCAAGAGTCGTGGCGGCGGCGGATTATGCTTTAGCTTCGACCAGGATCACGTGAGCCTTTGTTGTGGTGCAACACAATTTGGGTTATGTTCCATTTCCATGTTACCCAAAGAAAGTTACCTTTGATTTTTTGCACATCCCACAGAGCACTTTTATATCGTCTCAAATACCGAAAAAAACATTCAAAAACGACTTATACCCACAATATAGGATAAATGTGGTAAATTTTGGGTACTTTAGCCGTGGGTAGCAGTGTTTTTTTGGGATGCGCAAAAAAAGAAATGCAACCTTCTTTTTGGGACAGAGAGAGTACTCCCTCTGTATCAATATCTAATTATAAGGCGTTCTTGATAAAGACCCTTCTTGTATTGATTAAAGGGAAGTAGTATACTACCTCCGTCCCAGAGTATTTGTCCAGTTTGACTTTTTCGAGTCAAACTAGACAAACTTTAAACTCCAATTACTCTAAATTTGTATTTCATATTAGCATAATGAAATACAATATTGAAAGTTCTCAATACGATAAATCCAATAAAGTCATTTTTATATTAAAATACTTTACGGTTTTTATTTAATTGAATCTCAAAATTTGTCCAGTTTGACTTGAAAAAGTCAAGCTGGACAAAAATACTCTGGGACGGATGGAGTATTTGGGCATGGTGTTGACTTTATGTACAATTTCACCTGTGGAACAAATTAAACTAAGCATGTTTACTTTGAAAGTTTTTTTATTGCGGGTACGAGTGTGTATGTATGCGATCAAAGTAATTATATTAGGACATGATCTCTCCATTTTTTATTTACTCTCTCTGTTTCATAAAATCTTTTCTCTTTCGTTTTTTTCTAATTCTTTAAAACACTTTCACTCTCTATTAAAAAACCACTTTTACCCATACTTTTTCATAGTCTACGTATCACATCATACTTTTTCACTAATAACCAAACTATCACATCTTACTTTTATCTATCACATCATGGGCAAAATTGGAAAGTTGATCAAAATTACACATTCCTTATTTTGCCCAAAGTCAAAATGGGAACGGTTTAAAGAAACGAAGAGAGTATTACTTATTTTTGTTGAAATTAGATCAAACCAGATTAGATGATATCTGAAATAACATTAAATATAAATACATTCAAATCAGATCAGGTAAAGAAAAGATGATCTTACTTCCTCCATCTCAAAAACTTTTTTGATTTCGAACAATGTACAAAATTCTATCAATTTTTAAGTGATTTTATTTAGAAATCAATATAAAATAAAAAATACTCCCTCCGTCCCATAAAGTGTTACCCATTTTGACGAAAGTAGAAATTAAGGGAGGGGTAATTTTGTGTTGACTTTCCAAAAATATCCTTGATGTGATGGATAAAAGTAGGATGTGATGTGTAGATTATTAGGAAAAAGGTATGGTGTGATAGGTAGGGTTTGAAAAAGTAAGGGGTAAAAGTGGTTTTTTAATAGAAATGGGTAGGAGATTGTGAGACACAATTTTTTTGAAAGGTGTAAATCTTTTTGGGACGGAGGGAGTATGACTTACATATTTTAAAACTACATCAAATATTGAACAAAATAAGTCATGATCATACTATTAGTAAAAGTTTGAAGAATAATGATTGTTTTCGTTGTTGTAACAGGCCAAATTAGATAGATGCACATAATTAATCCATTCATGTTACCCAGATGATTATGATTTAACATAACAAAAAACGACTTAGGCTATGTCTAATCTCACATACATAGAGCAATATACAATTTTGAATTGTGTGTGAATTTTGTTTTTGGTAACACTTTAAATCATGAATTTTCATTCATATTTTTAAAATTTCCCGGATTTATATACTCCCTATATAAAGTCATGGATTTCTAGCATGTTTTTAAAGGTCATGTGTTTTTCTTGTAAATGGCATTTGTTAATTTACATATTATCGTAGATTTTTATACGAAACAATTTATAGATTATATGATATGAAACACAATTAAAAAACATACTCAGGAGTACATTACAATAATATATTCCCTATGTCTCAAATTAAACATATTATTTTGATTTATAATATTTGACTAAAGTTATTTTAATTTATTTATAAATTGAGATCAAATTAAAAAATAAAATATACGAAATACATATTTCAAAGCTAAATCTAAAGTTTTATTTTACAAAAGCTAGAGATTAAATGTCTTCTAATATATTATTTTATAAAATGAGTAACAAAAATAAATAAATAAATTCAATAAAGTGAGACTCTATCAATTGTAGGCATGCAATTTCACAATTACATGGCATATTATTCTCGATCCAATTACTCCCTCTGCCTCCCAAAAAAATGCTAAAATAAATTGAACAAAAGTAAAAGAAAATGGGGTGAGAGAGGCTCGAACTCTCGACCTCAGGATCACTCAGAAGCTATGAGACCTACGCGCTAGCCAACTGCGCCACCACCCCATTTTGTTTATTCTCTCAATTGTTATATATTTGTATATAGTTTATATATCCATTTCGGCGAAAGCTAATTTATTTAAGCCTTTTTAAATCTATTTAAATATTAGAATAAAATTGAAAAACATTCATTAAATTAAAAATTATATAAAAAAGTTATAAAATAAGAAGTAACATCACTATATATTCTTCTATAAAATACTATCTACGTCCCAGAGTATTTGTCCACTTTCATTTTTACACACCATCCAATGCACTTCTTTAATCCATTTTATCTTGTAATTTCTACATTAAAAAATTATAGAAGTTATATATTAATAATCTATATGTTAAGACAAATCAAACAAGATTACACATGACTATATTTAGGCTTACACATTGAGAGAATTTGATGAGTCAAAGTGCTTAGATGAACAGTTCCAAAAGTCAAAACTGGAGGAATACTCCGGGACGGAGGGAATACTTTAATTTGTTTTCTTGTCTTTGTACAATTTTTTTTACTATCCTTGTGTGATACTAAATTAATGTTTCAGAGAGTGCCTAATTTTATTTTCGTATTTTTGTATCAGAATAGAGGCGCATAATCTCGAGAGAAGTTCCTCACCGGCACACATCTAGATCAACAATATTCCACTTTACTTTCATCTAAAGTACACTATTCAGTAAATTGTTTTTTTGGACCCAATCTTTGAAATTAGCTATATTAGACAATCTCCAACGAATAATACTAAACTGAAACCTAAAATACAGTACAAATTGAATATGCAATAATTCATTACACTAAACTCAAAGTCAAACTCAAAGTACCATATATAAATTGAATTTGGTTTGAGAAAGCAATTAGAGGGGGGGATCCTATGGGCGGTGCAAGAGGAAAGAAATCTGGACATCCAAACTGCTATTTGTCCAGCCTGTTAGAGACAGATTTAAGGAAATTCAAGATATGGGTAACTATTGGAAATGCTCTTATTGTGATTGAAAATTCAGCCAAGAATAAGAGCATCATTCACACATACCAAGTATAAAGAATACCTTGTCCGAGAGTTTCAACCAAAATTTTAACCCTCGCAGAACAATTTAAGTTCATAGAACGGTTAAAAAAAACTTATTTTTCATATCAATACATCTCAGGGAAAAAAGTTTGTGCGCAATTCTATGTAAAATATGAAATGTAATAACAGCACGAAACCCACAATTCCAAACTGGCTAAAGTTGCTGTAATATGTACGAGCACCCAATATAGTATATACGTTGTGCTCTGTCTCTACAACGTATGTGAGGTATACTAAACTGACCATGCTGCAGTTACACACACCACGGATGGTATCGAGGTTGGCCCCACCAGTGTAATAATTTCTGACGACGTAAGTGATTGTCGCTGGGGTTAAAGTAGTATTTTCCATATTAGACAGTCGAAGAAAAAAAGAAAAAGAAATGGACAGGCATTGGTCATTGGCCATCGGAGATGGATGTGCACCTGAGCAAGTAAGAGAAAGTCAGTCCTCAACAGGAATGTTTAGATAGGTGCATTCAGAACTCTCCAATTCAGCGCCATTGCCTTTAACTTTAGCCCTACTTGTTCTCCATATATGCAGCAAACTTTTCCTGCAGATCCAACACATATATATGCATTTAATGATAATGATGGATAGACGACCGTTTTGTACTACCATCCCATGATACTACAAGGATGCCAACTAAGAGCGGAATCCTTTTTTTTCAAATTTCAAAACCAAGGTGCTGCTACTTTATGTGCTTCTGTGTTTTGAGGCAGGGGTCTCTTGAAAACAGCCACTCTACTTCCGACTTCCGAGTAGAGATAGGGTGGTTGGGATTATACTTTCCAGAAAAATGAGGCTCTTCTTTAAATAAGGTACCGTGCTATTGTCAAGAAAAGTGTTTCTCTTTGTAGGTGCAATAACTTATTTGATCTCATTTCTTGAAACAATTGATAGTTTTTTTATGGAGTTAAAAAAAAGAAGATACGAGTAGTAGTTTTATTATTGCTGAAATGCTTGAAGAGGAAGATAAATGACCATCATACCCTGACCTTCAAGATATCATTTTGTTTATTTTAATTTGAAAATATATTGTATGTACCTTATATAGCATAAAAAAGTAGTACCTCTCTGTTTCAATTTCCCTCTTTGCAAGCATAAGGGTCAAGAAGACAGGAACCATTGCAGCACATAAATGCTTGAGTGTATGCCCACTAACAACATGATGAGTCCACCTATAAATTGGTTTATCTGCTGCTTCCTCAATTTTAGCTATGAGATAAAATGCTGCAAGATTAAAATGGGAAAAGACTGAATTAGCACCACTTGAAAGAGTACATAATAGAGCAGCATTATATTGAACAATTCCAACAATTGAGAGAGAAAAGAAACACACACCAGCTGCCCATAACCAATATACCGAGTGTGTATACATTGGAGGCATCAATATAGCCATTAAAGGAATCGCTATACAGGGAACAAACTGAATAACCGCATAAGGACGAAGATCGTCAAAAAATCTGCAACCACAAAAAGTACAATCATTCAATGCTTCAAAGTTCAAACTGAAATGACGTGGAAATACTTGAGAGTTTACAAAATTCAGCAGTTTAATTTAATACAATATAGATGGGTAGAAGTTTCTGAGTTCCCATGCACCTAAATCCTACTTTTGGAATCTACTTACAAGAACTTGCATATATAAGATATGTTTGGAACCCACAAAACGTCAGGGAAAGGAAAAAGTGCGAGGACATATGAAGGAAAATCACATCTGATTTATTTTTTTGAATGTTTTCTTGTACTCAGAGTTTTAGATTTCTCAGTCTTTATATACTCCGTAATAGAGTTCATGAATAGAAGTAGTTCGATTAAATATTTAAAATTGAAATATTGAGTTTTAATAAAAAAAATTAGTTTCCTCTAAAAAAATATTTTCTTCCAAATTTTCTACATCCTCATAATCTTTCCCTATTAGTTTCCAGGTTCAAAACACACCCATACAAAAACTTCCAATACAAGTTTACATCCACCATGCAAAAAACATTGTCTAGATCCACCTAGGTCCCGCCTAAACGCTAGGTTTCATTGGCCGCCTGTAGGCCCAAGTTTGATGTCCATCCGGTGCTTTTAGAAAATATTGGTTATATATAGAAAAATGTTTTCTAGATAAGGTAACCAGAAGGATTTGTTCAGGAAAGAAGTGTGTGCAATCATCAAACAACAACAAACAACCCAGTTAAATCCCACAAGAGTAGGGTCTGGGGAGGGTGTGTGTACGCAGACCTTACCCCTACTCGAAAGTAGAGAGGCTGTTTCCAAAGTAATAATAAAGTCAACATGAATAAAAGCTAACCTCCAATACAATATACTAATCACACCAGCCAAAATCAATGGAATAATAGACACCGTTCCCTTTCTCTCATCCACCCTCTCAATAATAAAGATAGCAATGATGGAGGTGAAGGCAACAGTCATCTGTAACAACATACATCAAAATGTCAAGGAAAATAATCAAAACAACAGCAATGATTATTATTATTATTATTATCATATGGAGTAATAATAATGCGTAAAATGTAATAATAAAAGAGCGAACAATAAAAAAATTCCATGTTAGGCTCTATTTGATATCTAATTCTGGCTTATTATGGTAACTATGCCTATTAACAAAATAAGTAGTTTTGACTTGTTTGCCTGAAATGAAAGGTACCATGTCTTTTTCCTTTCATAACATTCAGCCATTCCATCTAAATAACCCTTAGTAAACAAGCGCAAACTTTATAAAGCACAATGCACATCATATAGCAAAGAACTCACTGGAAGACGGTCCCACACCAGGCGATCATCATTGGGGTCGAGATGATAGTAAGCTGATCCAAAAGCAACAGCTGCCACACCTATGTAAAAACATGTCCAGCCCCAACGCTCTCCTTGCAAACTTCCATCACGACATATGAGTTCACAAAAAAAAATCGTGGACTTTAAAAACACAGCATCTGCTATGAGATGAGTATAATTTCTGAAAAATATGTTTCACCTCAGTTTGAAATAGTTCCTATAATAACAGAGTACAAGCCCAATTAATCCAATGACTAAGAAGGGGAAATTGGAAATCACATTCAATGCATTGGGTATCCCTACAAAATAACCACAAAATTAGAACTGTACTGAATCCTGAAACATCAAAAAAAATCCCACATCAGTAGACTGCAACAGTTAATCCACCATTTACACCATCCAACAACTTCATTTCCTATATTCAAATCCCTAAATTCGAAACCCTAGTTCATCATCTGTTATTTCCTTCTCTAGTTAACACCGCACCCCTAAAGTCCATGAATTCGACCAAAGCGCACATAATTCCAATCCAAAACACAAAGGAAGCAGAGATATATTATATATACAGCTAAACATACGCAGAGTAGGATCATAGAGAGAGAGAGAGAGAGCAAAATACTGAAATTAACCAAAGAATTTGCGCTGATCAGCGAAGTCGTGGTACTCTTGAGACTGAGAGATTGTTGGAGTGGCAATCATGAGCACCACGAAGCACAGAATCGCGACTCCCCATATAGCGATTGTCCTTCTCCTCATCTTCCTTTACCTTGCGTTTGCTTCCCTTTTTCTAGCTATGAAAGATATGAAAAATGGCGAAGCAGTTAGAGAGAAAACCAGAGACCAGTAGAAACTACAACCCCAATTAGGATCGAGAAGCCAGAAGCACAACCGCGGTTTAAGTAGACCGCCTCCGGCCGCCCAAATTCGGGGCTTTCTAATTGGGAGGTAATTCAAAATGAAATTGAATTTGAGTACTTCAATTTCAATTCTGTTGTTTGGTAACATAAAAATTATGTGGATTTGGAATTGGAAGTGTAAAAAATGAATTGGAATTGGTGAATTCAATTCTATGGAATTAAATCTCATCGAATTTCAATTCCAATTCAATTCCAATTTCATCAATTCCGTATACCAAACGGACCCTAATATTTTTTTTGGTCCTGTTTGAGAATAACGTTAGAGATTAGCGTTAGCGTTTTGAAAAAGTTATCTACGGGTAACACTTAGCGTTAGCGTTTTCAAAGTTACCTACACTTTTGAAAATGTGTCCAAAATGCTAACGATGGTCTCTAACACTATTTCCAAACAGAGTCTTTGTTTGGTTTAATTATGATTCAGATAGACTTTAAATTCTTAATTCAAGTCTAATATGATACTAGTTTAAACGCTTGAGATAGTATAATTCAAATAGATATAAGCATTATTTTTAAATTGATGCTTATATAATTCCGATATCTCATTTAAAATGTGGGCCTTTTCACATTTTTATGGGCTTGTATGTGAATATTTTTTTTACAAAGATCCACTTGTTTTATGTTACTTAAGATCCACAAAATTAGGATGAACCTTAAATTCACGAAAAAATTTGCCTGTTTTTTAAATTATAGTGTTGAAGTTTTATGAAAAGTAAATGTTTTTGTCCTGATTTTGAAATGTTAAGCATTATTTTTTAATTAATGTGTTAAATACTAAAAAAATTAGGAATCAATTCCTAACTTTACTTCTAAGCTCACGAAACATGTCCTGAAATTTGTGGTGCAGTTGAAAACTTTTAACATTTTTTTCAAAAAGAGATCACTTACAAGAAGCGAATTAGAAGAAAATGTTAAATTTAAAGAATTATATATCGCCTTGAAACATCAGCCAGAGCAAAATTGTTAAGACATTAGTTCATTTTTTATATAGAAATTAGTTCCTTAATTACCCTCTAAATACGATTATAGTAAAGAAAGTTATTCCAATTTTATGAGTCCAAGTAAATGGAGATACATCAAATATTCAAATGAATACTCCCTCCGTCCCTAAATAGATTATAATTTTTTTTCTCTCTTCTCGGTAACTTTTGTTTGTTTACGCGATTTCATTAAGCATTTGATAAAATAAAATATTCTTGTCACCTCTTATTTTGTACTCCCTCCGTTTGGAAAAACAATTCCCATTTGGATTTGAGGCAAAAATAAGGAAGTGTTAAATTATAGTTGATTTCCAATTTTGCCCCTGATGTGATGAGTAAAAGTAAGATGTGATGGATAGATTATTAGAGAAAAAGTATGATGTGATAGGTAGGGTATGAAAAAGTAAGGGTAAAAGTGGTTTTTTAATAGAAAAGGGAAGTGTTTTGTTGGAAGTGGAAAAAATGAAAGAGGAAGTGTTTTTGAGAACGGAGGGAGTAGAATTTTTGACGTAGTTTTTTAATATGTAATTTTTATATCTTATTGATATACCAATTTGTAAATAAAATAATTTCAAAAAATAGAAAATTTTATTTCGTAACCCGTAATTTGTAATCAAGTTGGGGACGAAGGGAGTATTGGATATTTGGTGTTTGTATTACTTATCGATCCAGCCCAAGACGGTTGAACAGACTCCATTAGCCGAATTACACCGTTGAAATATTGGTTTAAAAATACTCCCTCTCTCCTTGAATATATTTTTCCTTTCTTTTTTCATCTGTTTCAAAAAAAACTTTTAATTTTAATTAAAAAATCACTTTTACCCCTTACTTTTTTAAACCTTACCTATCACATCATTTTTTTACTAATAATATACCCATCAAATATCACTTTTACCCATCACATCAAAGGACATTTTTGAAAATTCAATACCAAAATACACTCTCCTTAAATCTCTTCAAAATTAAAACATCCTATGTTTAAATGGACGGGGGGAGTATATGATTAAAATTATTTTTAATTTAATACATTCTCCGTCCACTCTCTATAGGCCTGTTTGGGATTAGCGTTAGAGATTAGCGTTAGCATTTTGGATAAAATTTTAACGGTGCAAATTACTTTGAAAACGCTAACACTAAATGTTGTCCGTAGGTAGCCTTCTCAAAACGCTAACGCTAATCTCCAACGCTTTTTCCAAACAGGCTCTATGTCTCCATTTCTTTTTTTATCGTATCACTATTTTTATCGACTTTTCTTCTTTGGTAAGTGTAATACTCTCAAGTTGTCTATTTAGTCCCTTCCTTCTTAAATGTACGTGACCCGCTATCTACCACGCATAAAGGCAATTTACTTCAATTCTACTAAGAGTCTTTTTGCGAATAGCATTAGAGATTAGCGTCAATATGTTGGATAAAATCTTAAATTACTTTGAAAATGTTAACACTAAACGTTGCTCGTGTTGCCCGTAGGTAGCCTTTTCAAAATGCTAACGTCATTTCCAAACAGACTCTAACTCAAAATCGACTTGGGAAGTGCAACTGAAGGGGTGGGGATGTGTTCGGGTAGGGCGGGGTGGGGGGATTTACCGGGTGATTGGGAGTAGAAACCATCAAACTTACGAACGGACACCATAGTGATCGCAGATCATTTCATAATACGGGATTCAAATATCATGGGAACCCTTCCGATAAAATAATATTCCCTCCAATTTTTAAAGTACTTCCCTTTCATTTTTTCTCTCCCACTAAAACACATCTACTTTCTACTCCATTCGTTCCTAAAAGAGCGTTATAATTTAACCTTTTAGGTCAAATTGTGGCATCTTTTGATCGTAAATTACGAGAAAAAATATTTTTAGTTATATTGTAAATTAATAAAATTAAATATATTTTAAAATATAGTTTTAAGATATCAAACTTTTATAATATTTAATTACATTAAATTATATTTAATTTGTGGTCTAAAGGTGCCACAATTTAACCAAAAAAATTAAATTGTGACAATTTTTTAAGGATGGAGGGTGCCAAAAGTTACCCATCACGGGCAAAATTAGAAAGTCAACTACAAAAATACACTCATTAGTTAGAATAAGAATTTTTTTTAGAAACAAAGGAAGTAGTATAAAACTGCATCTAAATTCTACAAAAAATGATGAGAAAGTAGTTTATTTCATTAAATAATCAATAAAAATGTATATAGAAAGTAAAATTATTTTGAGGTGTGAATAGTAATTAAGTAAAATTAATTTGATTTGTAAATAATAATTATTACTCCCTCCGTCCCTTAGTATTTATCCCCTTTCATTTTTACACACCATCCAATGCACTTCCTTAATCCATTTTATCTTGTAATTTGTATATTAAAAAATTATAGAATTTATATATTAATAAGCTATATATTAAGACAAATCAAACAAGATCACACATGACTATATTTAGGCTTACACGAGAGAATTTGATGAGTCAAAGTGCTTAGATGAACAGTTCCAAAAGTCAAAAGTGGACAAAAACTGGGTAACGGAGGAAATATGAGTCTCTTTTTGGGTCGAGTAAAACTCATTTTTTTCATTTGATTTCATTTAGGGAGTAATCAATTATTTTAATCAATAATTTCACAACATAATGCACTATATATACATGCCTCTTTGTAAAAGTCTTCTAAAAAACAAAGTTCATACATGCACACATTGTCACTAGCAATTAAGCGTTTTTTTCTCCAACAAACCGCTATTACATTCATCAACTAAAACGGTAAAACCATATATAATGCCTGTTTTCTTATATGCATCAAGTCACTTTAGTGCAGCCATTATTCTCTTTCACTTTCTTCCAAGATGCACTCCATCTCTGCAGCAAACTTATCCTGTTTGACATATCAATCAAAACTTCATGCATATAATTAAAAATTATAGAAAAATTTTACTTAAACAGAGATCACAATCTCATTCTTACCCATCAAAAGATATCCTAAAGAGTTGAATGGACTAAAATTCGGAAAAAAAAGATGATACCAATTTACAAGCCTATCATACGAGTATCAAATATGGGTGAAATTTAGGGACATTAAGCCTCAATGTCACCCAAACTTTAATTGGCATACAAAAAATTAACAGTTCATATGCTTCCTAACCCCCCGGTAATCTCCCCCCCCCCTCCTCCCATTACACCATACAAAATTTAGTTGACCTTGAAATTCAAAATATTTTTTCGAATGAGACATCATAAATACCCTAGGTCATCCCATGACATTAATTCACACATAAACCCATAGACCACTCATATATATATATATATAGTCATAAATATGATACCTTTGAGTTTGGATGTCCCTTAGTGCAAGCATAAGAGTCAAGATGGTGGCGAGCACAGCAATGAATGCATGCTTTAGCGTGTGGCCGCTCACAGTGTAACCGGTCAAGAAGTATGTTGGCCGGTCCGCTATTTCATGTATTCTCGCCATTTGAAAACATCCTAAATATCATCATTTCATTATTGCAATTTGCGTATGTAGTGGTTAATTGAGACACAAGAAAGAAAAAAACAAAACTTATTATTATGAAAAAATATTATTACACTTATTAGTATAATCCCAATGGTTTAATAAACTCATCTATTTATATTATTATTTAAAAACACAACTTTAAAAGAATGTAAAGTAGAAAAACAACTATATATATATATATACCTGCTGCCCATAACCAATATGTTGAATGAGTATACTTTGGAGGTATCAATATAGCCATTAGGACCACTACAATGGCCGGAATCGTCTCCACCGCGGCATACGGTCGGAGATCGCCCGTGTATCTTGCAACCAAAAATGTAAATAATTTTGTATATACCCTTGGTACGTTTTAGCGTTCATGATCTCACATCAAAATTTCAATAGAAAATAATCGATTAATTAAGATGACATCGAGTTGCATTAGATAATCATCTAAGCTATTAAATTGGAATCGGTTTTTTAAAATTCTTTGACTCAAAGTGTATTATAACCTAGTTAAGCAACATTACACTATTCAAGATTTTATCATCAAAAGGAAAAGGTTAGAACTTAGATAGATGGATAAGAATTACCTCCAATAAAAAACACTACCAACCCCACACAAAAGGAAGGGAATAAGAGACAAGACTCCCTTCTTCTCATCCACTCTTTCAATCACAAATATTGTCAAGATACCCGCCATGGCAACTGCCATCTGCAACAAAAAATAAGTAATAAAAATAAATTTATTTATCGGAGAAATAAATGTAAAGATTGATTTAGAGACAAATGGAATATGTTGGTATATACTCCCTCCATCCCAAAAAGATCGTTACGTTTCATTTCTTTGCTCATCACAAAAAGCAATGCTACTCACATCTAAAAATTCTAAAATTTACCATATTTACTCTTTATTATAAGATGAAATTGTTTTGAAAGTTTTTTTGGCATTTGAAACGATATAAAAGTATTTTAAGGGATGCGCAAAAAATGAAACGTAACGATCTTTTTGGGACGGAGGGAGTATATTATTGATCCCAATGTAAATAACTCTAGCTACATACTTACGGGCACGCGATCCCACACAAGGGTGGCATCATTAGGGTTGAGATGATAGTAGGATGATCCAAATGTTACTCCTGCAATGCCAACGTAGAAACATGCCCATCCCAATGCCTCCCCACGCAAGCTTTTGTTTGTAATTTACGACATGCACACCAAACACGTAGTAATTACGTACCGTTGTATCTTTATATCGGAAAATATTGCAACGGTTTTGTACCAATACAAATATTGCCATGCAATTGCTTCAGTGCAATTACATTGGTGGTAAAATAAACGTTGCAATTGACCATTTTTTAACAAAATTGGTACAATAATTGGTCTGTGGCTTCGATTGTTTAGAAAAATCTGATGCCAATAACAATTGACCGAGAAAGAAACTTTAAAAAAATGAAGTGAAAAGGGATTATTATACGCAATTCAATTGAAGATGAAATTATTTTTCATGGCTTCACAAAAAGTGGGATTATTTTAGACAAATAACATAACAAAAGAATTTTCAGCTCATCATTCCATTAACTTTTTCCGTCAAAAGTGTATCATATCAATGAGCTAAAATATGCAACAATATAGGAAGTATTTCAAGTAACATTTAAAAGTGCAATTATTTCAAATATTTTCCCCAATATGCTTTAAACTCTGTAAAGTTATATTGTTAATACTCCGTATCATTTTTCTTACATTTTTCATGAGTTGATAGGGAGCTCTTTTTTTTCTCTAAAGAACTCAATTCATCTACGCATTTCGCACTTATTTTGAAGGAATTATTCTGTTTTAGTAATGAAGATCTATATATAAATATATATTGTAAATAAAATCACGTACCATATCTTGAAATAACTCCCTTTGTAGTAGCATAGTGCAAGGCCTGCCAATCCAATTGCTAAGAATGGGAAATTTGAAATCACATTTAGTGTATAGGGTATCCCTACAGACAAAATTAGTTTTGGTCATATATAAATACACACCCAATTGACCCGAGTGATACTCTACTTAAAAACACTATAAATAAATTAATTTTCCACCAAATTAAATAATGAAAGACTAAATTATTAACTAGAATTCTCATCCTCTTTTATTCGTCTTATAATAATTTTTCACTGTTTTTTTCCTTTCATAAAGAGAAATGAATAAATGTCAAGTACGAGTAATACTCTTCTTGTATGTTCTCTAAAAAAATTCTATCAAAACAAAAAAACTTGCTAACTTTACACAAGTTATTTAAATTGAGACTCCTTTTGGGAAATAGAATTCGAATCATGAAATTGAATTAGAGATTTTAATTCCAATTCTATTATTTGGTAGTACAAAAATTTGTTGATTTAGAATCAATAATGCAAAAAATGAAATGGAAATTGAGAATTCAATTTCAATTCTGGGTACCAAAGAAACGGCGGCGTTTATCAGCATAGTCATGATACTTCTGAGGCTGAGGGATTCTGGGAGTGATTAACATGAGGAGTGCGAAGCAGAGGATCCCTACTCCCAGGGCCCCTGGGCCCATCTCCCTCATCTTCCTTCTGCTTACTGTCCTTGTTTCTCCCTTCTCCATTTATTTCAATTCTCCGGCCGAATGTATATATTTTTTTGATGGAAAATAAAATGATTTGGAAGCTATTTAAGATAAATTTTTATATATATGAAGTGAAGAAGGAAGCTTACGTACTGGTGCTGCTGGAGGGTTCTTCTTCTTCTTCTTCGTCTTCTTCTCTTCTTTTTGAAATTGCAGGAGCTGTGCACACGTGTCCTATGCAAATGCACACGTGGCATAAGACTGGCAATCGAGAAACCCAAGCCACGAGCAAATGGACTTGTGCTACAAACCGATCAACACAATACTTTGTTTTACCCACAATTATTAATTAGTGTGGGCGGAAAATAGACTATGATAAAAATGTGCTCCCTCCCTTCATAAATATTTGTCACACTTGTACTACCGAAGTAAAATATTAAGGTTTTTTAATTCTCTTTAAGTGCATATCGGTAGAGAAATAAAAAATAAAATTTACATATCAAAAAACTACATGAAAATTTCCAGTGTCTCCAAAGGTGGGTTAAGAATAAGGGGTGAGAACCATCAATTTTTCGTTTAGTGCTCCAAAAGTGTTCCAAAAACACAGTGGCACCATTACCCAGTGTCTACAGAACCTCGCTCTTCGGTCAGGTCGGAAAGGACTCCTGGGGATTGAGAATCATCCCTCTTTTTTTTTAACAAACAATGATGTTGTTCCCTTTCTCTTGCATATTCAAGTTTGCCCCACTTTTCAGACATAGAATTAATGATTTTATTCACAATCTTTTTTTGAGAAAAAAATGAAAGCTAACTTGAGATCATCCTGGGACGCCCAAACTTGGTTCAGGTGTAATCTGGGAACTATTGTTTTTAATCCTTTACCCGTCAAATTTGAGACAAAAAATACCCTCAATAAACACACACACTACCATACCAAAATACAACAAATAAGTAGCAATGAAAAGGAAGAATACATAAATAGAATTATTTTTCAGCTCCTCAAAAACAGTATGCTCAAATGGTATAACAGAATCCAAGCTGATATACAAGAAGACATCTCAAGTACAGAAGAAGCAAAAAACAAAAAAAAAAAAACAGAGTAACAATGGCAGCATGGCTGCCAAAAATGCTCTCTACAAAATGACTCTGACCATGATGAACATGAAGAAGCCAAAGCCTCCTTCCTTTCACTTCCTTTTCCTAGTAAATTAACTTGCATTTACACTACTAGGGACACCTTAACCTTTTATATATAAATGTATATATACCCAAAGTTGGAAATTCCGTGGAATCATCAAATATCAAAGCCAGGCATGGCAAATTGGGAGGCAAAACATTCAACCTGTGCACGAAGCTCTGTGACGTCTTTGTTGTTCTCTGTTCCCTTGAGGAAAGCCTTGGAGAGCTTCCCGTGTTCTCTCTGTACGCAGATTGCTATCTGCGCGGCTTTCAGTAGGATATCGGCTATTGTCTCAAAATCTGACTCCAAACACCCTCTTGTTGTCATTGCTGCTGTTCCTGCAACCACAGGGCAAAAAATATATTTGTATATTATCCCTTTGTTGGGGGACAGAGAATGTCTAGGGGTTTGTTTGGAACCTGGAAACAGTGACGAAGGAATTTGGCTTACCTATTCTCACGCCCCCGGGTGTAACAGTTCCATTGTCATCAAAGAGCATGACTTTGTTGAGAGTGATGTGACACAATTCACATATCTTCTCGTAGTTCTTAACTGAAAAAACACAACAAAAAACAATAGAGGGTATCAGTTTACAATGCTAACTTTTACCCGTTGTTAAAACATACACACAATTCTTGATTACATACTTAGGTTCACAGTGAATTAGGACAAGAAGAAAGATTTAGATGTCTTCTTGATGAATCTTCAATGTTACCTCAGTCCAAAGAAAATAGTACACTGACAAGTCATTAATACTTTTTCTATTGGCCCGTTCGGTAAATCGTATTTCGCTAATGTGAAATGGCTGAAACATATGAAATTTATGCTAGCCGAAGGGAGACTAATTTTTTGTTCTTTGGCAAGGTGATCAAATCTATCCTACTATGGGGGTATTAAACATATATAAGGGGTTACTTTTTTAGGAAATTTTCTTTATTTTTTGAGCCCGCGATTTTTTGGACAGATGAATGTTGATTTAAATAATGTAACAGATAGCACTGTAATCAAAGTAACATGGTATGGAAAAAGTCAAAAAAAATCAGAAGTTTGTGTATAAGACTTGTCAAGACATGAAAACTAGCCAAGTCTGTCAAAACATTAGGGAACACTTTTTTTAAAAAAAAATTATTTTTTGAGCCTGCGATTTTTAGGACAGTCGAAAATAATATAAATAATGTAACTGATAGCGCATTAATCAAAGCAACGTGGTATGGAAAAAAAAAATAGGAAGTTCGTTTGTGTCAAACCTATTAAACCAAGATTCCTTAGATCCCAAATTATCAGATGATTGTCGGTCCCACCAGTGACCAATCTACAATTTCTTTTCAACAGCGCATTTCCTAGGGCTTGAGCATTCTTCTTCACTTGCTCCATGTAAATCTTGTATTCAGGAGTAGCTACTTGTTTTAATGCTAGGGCAAGGGCGGCAATGTGGTTGTTGTGCGGACCACCTTGCAATGCTGGGAAAACCGCAAAATTTATTTTCTCCTCAAAATCATACTTTTCACACCCATCAACTTGATTCAAACATGTGCCCTTCTTCCTTGGTTTTGCACCCTTCCTGTAAAAGATAATGCCTCCTCTTGGACCTCGAAGACTCTTGTGGGTTGTAGCTGTAACTATATCACAATAATCAAAAGGGCTATCACAAACCTGCATACACACAACCAGCCAAAGCAAAGATTAAATAATCTAAAACACAAATTTTTAATTTTCTTTTAGTGATACAAGTAATCAATTGAGATAAGCACATATTTCACCCATCACATATACAAAAAACCACAATACCAAGAAGCTAATAACAAATCCTACTCCTTTCGGTCATATCTATTTGTCCACTTTTTGAGTTCTGATTGGTCCTTTTTAAATTTTAACTGTCCATGACACCATTTAATAAATTCAAACAACATTTTTTACAATTATACCCTACAAAACTAAATATGGATCACATTTGAACCAGGTCACTTGGAAATAGCATGTCTACAGTCTACTTTCCAATGTGCATACACAGACACCCCCACTCTGTGGGATTTATTGGGTCTCTTGTTGCTATTTGTCACGAAATTAAATATGGAATACATTAGGAAACATGAAAAGAGAAGGTAAACCCCATTAATTAAAGGTAAACTTGATCAAATGAAACTATTGTGATATACGTATAACTTTGCAACTTTCTTGTTTCTTAAAATATGTTTTGGAAAAATGGGGCAACATAATACTGTGACCAATGACCATTTCTTTTTGCTCCAAAACACTCTTTTGATTCAAAATAGCAGCGACCATAGTTTTGAAAGGCAAGCGTCTCCCTCACCTAAGGTGCCTCAGGCGTCCGGGCAACATTCTACTAACTGTAGATGTTCAAGTGAGGCGCTGTGCGCCTTTCTCGCCTGAGTTGCTCGCTTTTCTCGCCTGAGTTGTTCCCCTTTCTCACCAGACTGGCTTAGCCTATGGGCCTTCTAAAAATGAGCTGCCATTTTTTAATGCATTTCTATATATTAAATACTCATTTTTTTGAAAAACATATGTAGTAACTACCCTAATTGTTTTGTTTAACATATATGACTTGCTTGGGATTGACTATTAATTGCAGTGCACTATACTTCGTATATTTTATGTATGTGAGTGTATGCCTCAAGTTCACCTTTTGGCCGCCCGCCTTTTGCCTTAAAAAAGGCCCTCCCGCCTGCCTCTCGCCTCTCAAAACTATGGCAGTGACAAAAGGCTATCAAATGATTTTCAAAAACAAAAATCATATTCCCAACTACAGCTATGTAAAAGAGTCCACCTATTCTTTTTAGAAGGAATCCACATATTAATATAACAGAAATAATGATATTTGAAATGTTTAATGAATTAAAACAATTTTAGAAGGTATTACGGAGTATATATTTACATGGAGACAAAACAACCTACCTTAGCAGCAACGAGACCACTGATTTGAGCCATATCACACAACAATACTGCTCCACACTTGTCTGCAATCTGTCTAAATCTCGCATAATCCCACTCTCGGGGATAAGAACTCCCACCGCATATAAGTATCTTTGGGCGAAAATCAAGAGCCCTTTCCTCAAGCTTATTGTAATCCACATATCCAGTATGTGGATTCACCTTATAAGGAAAACTTTCAAAGAAAATCGATGCCCCTGAAACTTTCCTCCCATTTGGGAGATAGTACCCGTGACTTGTGTTCCCACCTGAAGGTGTATCCAACCCCATTATACGATCACCAGGCAATAACAGACCTGTATATACAGCAAAATTTGCAGATGTACATGAATACGGCTGAACATTCACACCCCAGTTCTCAGGATCAAGTCCAAAAGCAACCAGAGCACGATCACAACAGAGTGTCTCAATCTCATCAATGAATTGATTTCCTCCATAGTACCTTGCTCCTGGCATTCCTTCCGAATACTTGTTCGTCAAGTGGCTTCCTAATGCTTCCATTACTGCCTTGCAAACAAAATTCTCAGAAGCAATCAATTCAATCCCCTTGCACTGCCGCTGTTTTTCATTCTCCATTATCTGGAACAAATCTGGATCAGCTAATCGAAGGCTCTGATTCCCCCAAGCACTGACAGAATTCCTTCGTGATTCGAGGCTTTGTTGCTGTTCGCTTGAGATTGGAACCATTAAACCGCAATTAGATGAAGGAGACGCCGAATCAGTGTCCCTCTTCCGCTTCAAACACATAGAATGTCCCAAAATTCGAATCTCACCCTCATCCCCACTCCCTCCACCGTCCTTCTCCTTAACCTCCATCGTCTTCTGCTCCATCAATTGAAGCGGCACAGACGGAAGAGGATTGGAATGGTCTCCAAACTTTGAATCAATCTGAAAACAGATCGAATCCTCCGCTGATTTGCTGCGCTTCGCCGGAGCAGGAGTCGACGAGTGGGAAGAAAACCCTAACGACAAATTACTCGACTGCGATTGAGTAAAATCCATACGAATCAAGCCAAATAAACCAAAACTACAAACACTCACTCGATCTCAACGCTCAAGCTCCAATGTGTTTCAACAGAGACAGCGGCGGCAACAACATCGGCATCCGCCGGAGCAGCAGCGGCTTCCGAATCTCACCGGGAAGAAGTACGACACCATCGGCGCAACCGAAGTATCCAAAGAAGAGAACGGAGATAACAATAAATACATATAAAAAGTACAGTGTATGGGACTGATGACGGATAGGGAAAGGGAGAATTGTTGAGGAAGACGATAATGCGGGCAGATGTGAAGGGGGGATGAACCTGGACGCTTTTGTCGATTCCGGCAGCGCGCATAGGGTTCAACGACCTTTGCAGAAATTTGGTGCGAACACGATTTGGTTTACTACCATTCTAAAAAACCTAATCTAGGTTTTCAAAAAAAATTACTCTTCTTTTGTCAAAACACTTATTAATTTGATTAATGATCAAAATAAGAAATGATTAAAATGTATTTGACTTTCTAATTTTTCCTTTGATTTAATGTACCCTGAGTATAAATTATTAGTAAAAAAGTACTCCATATGATGTCATAAGTAAGGTACAAAACAATTAGGATAAAAATAGGTTTTTAATAGAAAGTAAAAATATTTTGGTGAAAACGAAAAAAAAAAAGAATAAGTGTTTGGTAAATGGAAAAAGTAGAAAAATTCTAGAATTTGATATCACAACATGTTTTTTAGAGACATATATAAAATAAATTTCTAGCACCGCAGTTATTGTTTATATATGTATATGCAAAGCATGTGATCAATAGAAACATAAAATTTTTGAGTTGTCCTATCACAACTCTTTTCTAATATCATATCTCAGTGTTTGGCTGGAAAAAAATATTAGAACAAAATAGATATTTGTTGTTTGTTTGGAATTAAGTGCATGTTTTTTGTGTTTATAAGTTGTCCTTTAAGTTATACTCCCTCCGTCCCAAAAAGTTTGTTACGTTTAGAAAAAACTGCGTCCCGTAAAGTTTGTTACATTTTTATTAAAAATTCACTTTTACCCCTTACTTTTTCATACCCTACCTATCACATCATACCTTTTTCCTAATAATCTACCTATCACATCCTACTTTTACCCATCACATCAAGGGTATTTTTGGAAAGTCAATACCAAAATATCACTCCCTTAATTTCCCAAAGAGTCAAACCGTCCCATTCTTTTTGGGACGGAGGGAGTACAAAGTGTGTGTTGTGCACACACACACACACACATGAATTAATGATGTGTTTTTTAATACTTATAAATTACTATAAGTCAAAAAATAAGTCTAACCTACTTATTTTTAACTCATTTTTTATTTTTCTCTTTTTGATCAATTTATTTACAAAGTAATATTACTTTTTATTAATATCTTCAAATGACTCATATTTCATTTAAATCACTTTACAAAAAAATTTCAATAAATAACCTAATACATTAAAAATAACTCCCTCCATCCAAATTTAATCTTCTTATTTTGATTTTTTCTCATTTTTAAGAGAGATCGACTATGCAATAGATTTATCCAAAATATCCTTACTAAAAAGGGGATAAGGTGTTTTGTTGGAATATTATAATAAAGGGGGTATTTTTTTCTCCTAGCACACATTTATATGAAAAATGAGAAGACTTAACTTATGGGTGTTGCTAAATTCATCTCTATTTTTTGTTATATCCACCTCTTTTATAGTAAATGGACAATTTTGTCCTTAAATGATTGGCATCATCTAAATTTCTTCTATTGTAGTTTTAAGGACAAAATTAACTATCATAAGTTGAGTGGATTTAGCAAAAATGGGAGGGGATATAACAACACCCTAGACTTATACGGAACATTATTTTAAAGATTAATGTACCCCTCAATCTAAAAAAGAATTACATTCTTCACTATTCAAAAGTCACGAAAACTTTTATTTATTCAGGCATAATAGTGCGTGCACAAAGAGGTTATAAGAGCAGAAACACACTCGAAACACAAAGTGAACATAGTAAGACCAAACAAAATAAGAGCACAAAGAGGGACACAATTAAATACGAAAGGGAAAAATAGTCAAAATAGAAGATCTCAATACGATCTCAATGACTGCAATTTACAAAGACATGGCATTGTAAAAGCACTCCCCATTTGTCAAATACATTTTAAACTCACAAGCCTTATTGGCACAACTCTACAAATTTTACAAACTTTAAATGCCTCAAATCAAAACAAATTTACACATACACAATGAGTCTGGTTTCAAGATGAATGGAGTCTTTTTCTTTACAACACGTTAAATTCGCCACTTTCGTGTGCTTGCTTCACTTGCTTTTCATACTCATCTTCTTCATCCTCATCGCCGCCATCTGCTCCTTTCTCTTCTTCTTCTTCTTCCTTTCCTCCCCAGCCAAAGCCACCAATGGAGCATGAAGCTGGTGGGGAGCTCTTGGCTTCGTCCACGATTTTCATGATCTCCTCCACAGTTTGAACAGAGAAGGTTGGGTTTTCTTTCTTGTAATAGGCTGCTTGAACCACTTCAGTTAATTCCCTTGGTAAATTCTTCAAGAACCACGGGTGGGACTTGATCTCCTTGATTGTTATCCTCTGTGAGAGAAACAAAATAGCAATCAGAAAGGGGGAAAAACTATTGCTTCATGGCAAAAGCATAAATAAATGTCAAGTTTGTAATAGTGAAATCCGTTCAGAAAAATTCATCTCAATACGACAAAGACTCCAAAATTGCGTAATTATCACCAATGTTCCCAAAAATTCAATATTTTTACATTTTACAATAATATCCCCAGATCTCTTATTTCCCTTGGAGTATCATTGTAAAATAGTGATGTTTTGGGAGTTTTGATTATAATTTTATAATCTTGGAGTATTCATGAAAAAACTCTTATTTTGGGGAGTATTGACATGAACTTTACGATTCCGTATAATGGGGAAGACTCTAGGGATGTAGTATAATACTCTCCGCCCCAAAATTAAGGTTACACTTTCCTTCTTCGTTACTCTCTAAATTATACTCTCATTTCCTTTAAAGAAAGACAATGTGGTTCATAATTTTATCAATCTTCTCAATAAAACTCAAGTACAGTTTTCACTTTCTTAATGCTCATGCTCAGTCAAAGTGAGTCATAAATTAATGGCGGAGTAAGTAAATAACCAAAAGCAAATCATGGAACTTTCAATTAAATAAAAAAGCTATTTTGAAAAATTTGGGCAAACGGCCTTTTTAAAATAAAGTTCTAACAAAAATTTGCATGTCAAATTATTGGCTTGATGGCTTCAACCATACAACAAAAACTAGCTCAGTAAAAAGATCAGGGAAGTTTATGAAGAGTACGTAGATGGAGATAAAGAAAGAGGGTGTACCCTTGATGGATTGGCAACAAATATGCGGGAGAGAATATGCCTACAATCCTGTGATATGTGGACATAGTCCGGAACCTTGTACTGCACAGACATTATACGCTGCACAAACGACCCAAAACAAAAGAAAGTTTGTCATTCCAATACTTAGTACCAAATGAACTCTTTGGGGGTTTGGGGGGGGGGAGGGGCTGACTTGAATAGTTTTCCTGAAGTTCTTGGGATCAGACTGGTCTTCGAAGGGGTAAGCACCAACCAGCATCACATAAAGTGTGACTCCACATGACCATACATCTGCCAGCTGAAGAAAGTCGACCCAAAGTTAAAAGAAAATCCCACTTCATAAATTTTGTCTAAGAAAAAGTCTAAACAAAACACACATATTTTATCAATCAAAAGCAGAGCCCAAAATTAAAATTTACAGAATGCAACTCATATACCATCTGCGATCTAGACATGGAAATGATTGGGAAAGTTCTGAAAAGAAATGACTGGTATCAGATCATATGGACGCAAGAGTTGCATACCTTGCCATCATACTCCTTCCGGGATAGCACCTCCGGTGCAATATAAGCTGGAGTCCCCACAGTTGATTTTGGCCTTGAGTGCAACAGGGACGACTGATTGGATTGGATTGAGGGATGGGGTGAGCATAATGAATGATCTTGTGCATATATTAACTATCAAGTACAACACCATGAACTATATGCATACCTTAGAGTAGCCAAAATCGCATATCTTTAGGCGCGGTGCAGGACGACCATCCAGGAGGGTATTCTCCAGCTTTAGATCTCTATGGCATATTTGCTGAAGACAAAATGAAAATGTGGAAATTTTAAATTTGGGCACAACTCACCCTAAAAGATCCTCAAGAGGTGAGAGTGACCTCACACTTATATACTAAAAACAAATAAACAGCCAATGTGATATACAATGCATGGGTGCGCTACTACAGAGTCATGTTAAATTGGGCATATCTCACTCACCCAAAAAGAATAATCAATAAGTGAGGTTCACCAACGGTTCAACAAGAGGTTGACATTTCGAAAAGAGATGTGATTTACCTCGCACATATATATAATACTCAATCGCAATAGGAATCCAATATAAGATACTCATAACTCATAAGCATCAATATAGCAACAAAATTAAATATTTTGTAATTAACGTACCATAGAGTGGCAATAGCTTACACCTGAAATGAGCTGCTGGAAAAAGTATCTAGCCTAAGTAAATGCGAAAAGAAACACATATGAGTAAAAGATAAATATGAAAAAAAAATTAAATAGTTGCTTTCAGTAAAAATTCATTGTAACTTTTAACTTAAAAGGTAATGAAGAATGACTTGGAGCCATAAAATAGTAAAGATACCTCATCTTCACTGAACCTTCCAGCATTGCAGATTCGCTCAAACAGCTCTCCACCAGCAGCATACTCCATTACGATAGCCAAATGAGTAGGAGTAAGTACCACCTGTATATAAGAAAAGTGATTAACTAATTTAAGATTTACAAAAAAAGAAGAAAAGGTACTCCATTAGCAAGCAAGAACTAAGCTAATATCCATCACATTCTTTACCTCCTTGAACCGAATAATGTTTGGGTGTCTTAGTGATCTGTGGTTTATGATCTCCCGTGCCACATTCTCGTCAATCTGCATTGAATTGAATGATAGAATGAAACAATCTAGCCCCAACATGCAAAATTTGTGAAACAAAATTGCCCTATGAATAATAGACATCAGGATGTACCACATCATTGTGAAATGATAATTATTGTGTATCCTTATGAGGAATGTTTGTTTTTTTGGTATTGGTTTGATCAGTTCGGTTTCACCTTTTGAAAAATGTTAAATGAAAAGCCAGATATAATAACTTGAGTCTGTTTCAGACTTTCAGTTTAGTTAATTCTGGTCGAATTTAATCAATTTCGGTTGGTTTGGTCTGTTTTCAAACGCTAAACCCAAGAGTCCAAAAATGAACACTGAACCAACCATAAATGGTTGGATTAGTTTTGGACAGTCCATTTCTGACTTATGATTGGTTAAATTTATGTCAGTTTGACGGCTTATCATGTCATGAGTTTACATATCTGTAAATACACAAGGATATATAGATACAAAGGACCAACTCAAGCAAAAATTCAAACCTTGCAAGATTTTTACTTAAACCTTGCACATGATGACATGAACATTCATTTTTTTCCGATGAACTCGTGACCTCTAGATCAATAAAGCTCTTATAACCATTCCAAAGAATCGGTTCAACCAAAAGTTCAAGCTTTGTACTTCAAGGCCCATGAAATATTATATACTCCAACATATAGCAATAGTTTCAAAGGGAGACTGGATACCACAATTTGCAGAAACAATTGCTTATACAGAGATGAGAGCCAAAGCAAACCTTGCGGCCTCTTTCGATGTACTTCATAGCCACGAGCTCCTTCGTCTCCTTGTTCCTCATGAGCCTGGCCACGCCAAAGTTCCCAGCCCCAATGTCCTTCACAAGCTCGTACTTCTCCATTTCCTGAAAACCCTAACAATCCAAGCTTCTGTTCTTATTTTTTGTCAGCTCAATCTCGAAAAACTAAGCACAATTGCCTGAAAAGAACAAGAAAACACCGAATTTCGAAGTTTAAAAGATTGTACAAAAGAAACTTAGAAACTGAGATAGATTAAGCTGAGCTTTAACTCTACCTGAACTGGTTATATAGATACAGCGAGATTGTGAAAGATGGATGCATTGTTTGTACCTACTGGCACTTCATATAAAAGCATGAGCCCCATCCACGCCCTACTTTGATTGGGAGCTTGCACCTTCCACATGCACCTTCCAATTTACTCGATCTTACCTTATCAACTAATCGATTAGATTCAATCTTTTAATGTAGTTCAACCCAAGTTTTTTATTGCCGAATCCAATGATCCATACCCCATTCTAAATTCTATCACTAACTCTATATGAAGTGCCTTATATACCAGATTATTTTTACCCTTGAACTTCCGATGTAGGATGCACTTTAGCACACTCTCTCAAGTGGAGAACCGGATCATTTTGAATCTAACTGGTTGACCACTTGCAAATGAACTCACATTCCCTTGAACGTCTAGACGGACACCTTGACAAACGAAGTGGGCTAAAATTGGCTCTGATACCATGATAGAATTTAGGATAGATAGTAAGAACTGGATTGGGCAACAAGACACTTGGGCTGAACCACATTAAAAGATTGAATCCAATCGATTACTTAGTTCAACTCTAGAGCTTATATACTGATTATTTTACTCTTGGAGTTTCCGATGGGGGATGTACTCTAACACTCCCCCTCAAGTGGACAACCGGACCATTTTGAATCTAACCGGTTGACCACTTGCAAATGAACTCTCATTCCCTTGACTTTTTTTATGAGCGCCAACACCTAAAGGACCACGAGCCGCTGGGTATGGACTTCCAGACGGGCAATCGTGTTAAACAGGCCACAGGTCGTTGGGTACAACCTCCATACGGACAACTGGGCTAAAGACTAACGGGCCGCTAAGAATGAACGTCTAGACGGACACCTTGACAAACGAGGTGGGCCAAAACCTGCTCGGATACCATGAAAGAATTTGGGATGGGTATGGAAAACTGAATTGGGTAATAAAACACTTGGGTTGAACCACATTAAAAGATTGAATCCAATTGATTAGTTAGTTTAACTCAAGAACTTATATACCGGATTATTTTACCCTTGAACTTCCGATGTGTGATGCACTTTAACAGCCAAAGAATATATAAGTAGAGAAGTCGAAAGCTTTGACATCCAATATTTAACTTAGTCATTTAATCTCACCCTTACACACATTACAAACACAAAATAATATAGAATGTATGTAAAAATGATGGGGTTCAAAACATCTATTTTCACCCATCACTCAAACCAACCAATATAAACAGCTAACAATAATCATTTAATAAGGGCTTATATTCTCTTCAACTTATTCTTATTATTTATTACTTTTTCTTATTGGAATCAGTTGAAAATAACATAACGATTCACTACTGCTACTCTAAGGAGAGTGTATTCAATTGAGAGTTTAAATTTTTTTAGACTTTCAAAGTCTAAGAGTATTTAACCTGGATTTTTTAAAAGTCTTTAAAAATCGTGAAGTTTTCAATAGGGATTTTCTAGTTTTTAGAAATCTTGAGGCATTCAACAGTCTATGAATATTAGTAGTCCATGGACTTTGTTAAATTTTCTCCCGGAAATATGCTTACACAATTTTTTTCTCACAACGAGGGATTTTCTAGAGTTTTTAGAAATCTTGAGGCATTCAACGGTCTATGAATTTTAATAGTCCATAGACATTGAGTTTATTATCTTTTTATACATTAAATTGTTAAAAATATTACAACAATTAATTTTGTTTTATTCTAATTAAAATAAAAAAATTGTTTTAATAATTACAACTTTAAATATAATTACATTTAGATCAAATCGGAATTTATTCTCATCAGATCAGAATAATAACATGTTCTAACGTTGTGTTCTCTTCAACTTAGGTCATTTTTTCTTCAACTTATTTTTATTACTTATTTTTTTATTGAAATAAGATGAGATCAGATATAGTTCTAATTAGAATTGCATTTAGATGGAACATATTCTAAACAAAGAGAAAAGGACCAAAGTACGAGTAACACATTAAAAATATACGGAGTATCAAAATAAGAGTTCTATGTTTTTATTTTAGAAATAGGAGATAAAATACATTTACATTACAAAGTATGACTATGTACATTACGTAAAATGCACATATACAATATCAAATTCCTACAGTATAAATTTTTATTTAGAGAATAAAAACATAAAATTCTATTTTCATTTGATTTTGAGATTTTTTCTAAACAAATACTCCTGATTGACATGTTTTGGTTGCCATGCCGCTTCCAAAATTGTTCGACTTACTTCGTGACTTCAAGGTGAAAGGTATATACATCCGTATGTAGAACTTTTGACGTGATTTTTTAATATATAATTTTTTTTCTTATTGATTTATGGAGTTATAAATAAAATGATTTCAAAAGATGAGAGATTTTACCTCGTAACTCTCAAATTGTAATCAAATTAAGGAAGGAGTATATGTTTCTTTGTGGTATGAACTCTATCATCACCAAAGTGTTAATTATTTACTCATATAGCCAATATCTTAGCTCTAAATTAAATTAATTAATACAAGCATTAAGCTTTCCATTCTTAATATAAATGTATCCCATACTCCTCTCCCAATTCATCTCATCAAATCTCCTTCTTTTTTTTACGTTCTTGAATTATATCCTCTGCTAGCGTCTTCTAAACCTAGCAGCATGGATAAATTATTTTTCATTATCCCCATCAACGTTTTTCTTCTAATCTGTTTAGCTCATGCAACTGCATCACTACCGGCACAACATTTTAATGTCTATCATCGCCATTCCGAGGAGGTCATGAGGGTCTTAGGCACTGGCGGCCTGCCACAAAAGGATTCCGTAGAATACTATTCCGCCCGGGCGGCTTTTGATCAACACCGCCACCGGCAACTCTCTCCGGCCGCTAGAGATTTGTCGGCATATACATTTGCCGGAGGAAATGTCACCAAATATATACAGCGTTTGGGATATTAAGTTAGTACCCGGCCGTATGATGCATTCATGCACATTCAGAGTTTATAAATAAATTTCTTTCTCTTGCATTTATATATAATTAAGAGAGATATATAATTAATACTGAGCATATTATTAATTAATTATAAATTTATCTTTCAGCATTCAATATGCCCATATATACGTACGTTGGGACTCCTCCGGTGCCATTTCCGGTGGCTCTTGACACCGGGAGTGACGTGTTTTGGTTGCCATGCCGCTTCTAAAATTGTTCGACTTACTTCGTGACTTCAACGGGAAAGGTATACATCCGTATGTAGAACTTTTGACATGATTTTTTCATATATTATTTTTTTTCTTATTGATGTATGGAGTTATAGATAAAATGATTTCAAAAGATGAGAGATTTTACCTTTTAACTCTCAAATTGTAATCAAATTAAGGAAGGAAGGAGTATATGTTTCTTTGTGGTATGAACTCTATCATCACCATAGTCTCAATTATTTACTCATATAGCCAATATCTTAGACCTAAATTAAAGTAATTAATACAAGCATTAAGCTTTCCATTCTTAATATAAATGTATCCAATGCACCTCTCCCAATTCATCTCTTCAAATCTCCTTCTTCTTTTTTTACGTTCTTGAATTATATCCTCTGCTAGCGTCTTCTAAACCTAGAGATTTGTCGGCATATACATTTGCCGGAGGAGATGTCACCAAATATATACAGCGTTTGCGAAAGTAAGTTGGTACCCGGTCATATGATGCATTCATGCACATTCGGAGTTTATAAATAAATTTCTTTCTCTTGCATTTATATATAATTAAGGGAGATATATAATTAATACCGAGTGTTAGAATATAAATAATTGTTCTTGAGGAAAAAACCACAAGCTTGAGCTTTTGGTTGATTTGGTTCTTTGACATGGTTTCGGAGCCTTAGCTTGTTGATTAAGAGATCACGTGTCTAAAACTCGGCGCCACCCATTTTTAAAAAATTTAAGGTTGTACGTGCAAGGCTCGAAAAAGACTACGCCTACACGTGAGGGGGTGTGTTAGAATATAAATAACTATACTTGGGCCAAAACCACAAGCTTGATCTTTTGGTTGAATTGGTTCTTTGACACCGAGCATATTATTAATTAATTATAAATTTATCTTTCAACATTCAATATACCCATATATACGTTGAGACTCCTCCGGTGCCATTTCAGGTGGCTCTTGACACCAGGAGTGACGTGTTTAGGTTGCCATGCCACTTCCAAAATTGTACGACTTACTTCGTGACTTCAAGGAAAAGGTATAAATCCGTATGTAGAATTTTTGACGTGATTTTTCATATATAATTCTTTTTCTTATTGATGTATGGAGTTATAGATAAAATGATTTCAAAAGATGAGAGATTTTACCTCTTAACTCTCAAATTGTAATCAAATAAAGGAAGGAAGGAGTATATGTTTCTTTGTGGTATGAACTCTATCATCACCATAGTGTTAATTATTTCCCGATATAACCAATATCTTAGCCCTAAATTAAAGTAATTAATACAAGCATTAAGCTTTCCATTCTTAATATAAATGTATCCCATGCTCCTCTCGTTCATCTCATCAAATATCTCCATCTTCTTTTCTTATGTTCTTGATCGAATTATATCTTTTCTTACTATACCCTCCTCTGTTAGCGTTCTCTTCTATACCCAGCAGCAGCATGGATAAATTATTTTTCATTATCCCCATCAACGTTCTTCTTCTTCTTCTTTTAATCTGTTTAACTCATGCAATCGCATCCCTACCAGCGCAACATTTTAATGTCTATCATCACCATTCTGAGGAGGTCGTGCGGTTCTTAGGCACCGGCGGACTGCCACCAAAGGATTCTGTGGAATACTATACCACCCGGGCGGCTTTTGATCAACACTGCCACCGGCAACTCTCTTCGGCCGCTAGAGATTTGTCGGCATATACATTTTCCGGAGGAAATGTCACCAAATATATATAGCGTTTGGGATAGTAAGTTGATACCCGGCTGTATGATTCATTCATGCATATTCAGAGTTTATAAATACATTTTTTTCTTTTGAAATTATATATAATTAAGGGAGATATATAATTAATACCGAGCATATTATTAATTAATTATAAATTTATCTTTCAGCATTCAATATGCCCATATATACATTGGGACTCCTTCGAGGCCATTTCTGGTGGCTCTTGACACCAGGAGTGA